TAACCCTCAAAGATGGGGAGATGGGTGGCCGCACTCGGCATGTCTAGGGACTGACATTTCCGACCGTTCAGAGGGTTAGACCCGGACTGGCCTGCCGCGGAGAGGCATCAAGGGAGTTGACCTCGCCGCAACGTTTTTGCAGCATACGACCGGGGCGAAATGGGGCCTCAAATTTTTGTCTATTTTAGTACCGTAATTAAAGATGGGAAGAGGGATTAAGACCAGTAGGGGAGAAGGGAAAACCATAATATCCCTTATTTTTTTTATTTTTCACGGCATTTAATTCTAGGGGGAATACCCTTGTTATTTTATTTTTCCGACAATTAAATTAGAAACGTAGAAAAAGATTAAAAATGGTAAAAGAGAAAAGAAACAAAAGGAATTCGGCCATTTATTTAAACCTTCTCGGAATTGAATTTTATGGAACTTACGGTTAATTTACTATTTCCGACAACAGAATTAAGGAAGGGGAAGAATGATTAAAAACGATGAAAGGGACGGAAACCCATGACTATTGGGAGATTGGCCTAATTTCGCCTTGATTACCCGCCATCAGCTCTGGCCCCGGATTGATCATTTTCCCCKGATTTTAGACAAGTTTTCACWACTGCCCATGGTCGAGGTTCCCTKCGTCGCTTTCCCTGGTTTGCTTGATTACTAACATTACCGCAGTTGGGATGTTCTGAGAACGGGAGTCGCATGGACAACATGGGGTGGTGCTACCTTGGGTCGACAGTATGGTGTTTGGTTCGGTATGGATACGGGGGTTGTTACGGCGTGGTTACGTCCTACGGTTTCCAACGCGCTTCAGGTTCGGTATGAGCCCGGTGACAGTTGTTTCACTACGGTGACTTATTTTCAGGCTTGGGACAACTGCGGTGATTTATTCTCAGGACCGGGGCCGCTACGACAGTTATTCCAGGTTTGGAACCCTGGCGGCAGTTTGTTTTCAGGTCTGGAAATGTTGCGGCATTCTATATCAGGTTTGGGATAGGTACGGAATTATCATGGCATGGTTGTACGGGTTCGGCATCCGCGTGGCGCAGCAGCCGGTACTAGATTCCGGGTCCGGTCAGGTTCGGTGGCATCGCGGTGTTTCGTTTCAGGTTCCGGTCAGGTTCGGTGGCATCGCGGTGTTTCGTTTCAGGTTCGGTGCCCTCACGGAGATTTATTTCAAATTCGGAACCTCTGCAGTGACTCATTTTCAGGTCAGGGAGCATTGCGGCGGTTTACTTCAGGATTGGTACTATTGCCGCGCCGCTGCGTCTTGCCATGTTCGATATGTTTCAGGAACGGTATTGGTTCAGCATTGGCGTGGTACACGCCACTGCATCGTTTTCAGGCACGGTCTTGCATCGGCATCGGCACGATATGGGTTACAGCATCTCCAAGCGATTACTTCAGGCTCTGCATTGGTGCGGTAACGATACAGTGTGCTGTACGGTGACAACACAGCCTGCTACAGCTTAGACTGGTAATTCCCTGGTTCGGGAACGGTATGGCGCACGCCACTGTGTTGTTTCCAGGTTCGGTGATGGTATGGTACGGACGGCCACGGTTCAGACTGGTAATTCCCTGGTTCGGGAATGGTATGATGCACGCTGCTGTGTTGTTTCTGGCTTGCAGCGGCTATGGAGCCTTCAGATAGGACTAACTGGTGCTGGCCCTATCGCGAAATGACCCCTGGTCTAAGGGCCCTTGCCACCACCACAAGTACTGGGTCCACTGCCTCGGGCCTGTTTTTTTTTTGCCTAGTCGGGGCCTGAAGACTAAGTCACCGTTTTGCCTCGAATAGAACCAGTGGTGTTGAGCCTACGAGGCGGACTCTACGTGGATATAGCTGGAACGGCTGAGAAACCAAGGGGAAAAAAAAAAAGAGCGAGCAAGGTGTACCCGCGACAGCAAGCACGGGCACAATCGGCGCTCCGACCGTCACTCCGCCCGTACGAGGGATGTAGGGGAACAGGTTGATGACGGGGCGAAAGGGCATTCGGAGGGACTGGCTCGACAAGTGTGCCCGGTGTACGTAACGTCCTACTGCTGTTGTCTCGAGAGTGCGCAGTCAGAGAGGAGAAGACTGTGCAGGTAGAGAAAGGGAGACCGCGCATCAACCAAGGAGAGGACGGGAGTAGAGAACAGCTGATGATGATTGGGGGGGGGCTTGCTGGCCATCACGAAATCAGACTTGATTGGCTTGCTGGCAGCAGCCAGCTCATTCA